AACAAAAATGATACAGTTGTTTTACCTCTATTATCTTGGGAAGATTTATTAAAACAACTGGTATCGATTCATGCGACGCCACCTTTACCTGGACTACCGTCAATTACATTAAAAACACCACCGTCAATAACTCCAACTCATCCCATTCAACACAACAATTATCTTATTTTGATACTTGTTCGTATTCCGGAAGATACAACATGGTGTCGTCCGTTGGTTGAATATTTTTCGACAGAAGATATGCTATATATTAACGATCTTCTCACGGAATTGACTCGAGAAGAACAAGCTAATCTTCTTCGAAATGTACAATATCAACCAGCGGACGATATTAATGATGATGATGATGATGATGAAGATGATAATGATGATGATGATGATGATAATGATGAATTATCAACATATTCATCAATACCAGCAAGTCGATCTATTGGTATTATTTTACCTCAGGATAATTCAACTATAAATGGTCGAATTGAGCAATGGGTAAATCAATGCATTGAAATCGGTAAGATAGTGTTAGCCTTTCTTATTGTATCTTCCGAAACACGAACAGGTATCAAAATAAGATATCTGTTGTGTTGAATGGGACGAGTTGGAGTTATTATAAGCTTTATTGAAAAGAAAAAGTTGGAAAAGATCAGTACAATAATGAGGAGAAGGAGGCGAACCCATTGTAACTTTACATCATTGACTGCGGACAAAGGACAGGACAAGAAATACATATAAAAACAAGTGACAAGGACAACATAAAAAAGACAGACAAAATAAAGACAAAAATAAAGAATGAAGAGATAGGCATACGAGGAGGAAAATAGGAGTTAGAATCGTTGTGTGTCCTTGATATAAGTTGATATAAGCTTTATTATATTATGTAAAGAAGAGAAGAAAAATAAAAAATAAAACAACAACTACTGGATAGACATATGAACAGAACAAAAAGGAGGAAAAAAAAAGCATGAGGTCATTTTGACTGATCTGTAAAATAAAAAGTTGCAAATGTACATTGATATATAGTTAAAGAAAGAGCAAGATTGACACAGACACATTCATTTTCTAGCACGGTTAGATACAAAGCATGTACACAGAATACACGCACACGATATACATACAATAAGAAAGTAAACGATTAGAAAGAAAAGTACCGGATACTAAAAGTCTCTCAG